TCCCTCAAGCTGACCTTTTTCAACAGAAATTTTCTTTTCCTCCTCGGCAGCTTTCCGTAACACTTTTGATCTTACAGCGTCCGTTGCTACAGCTATACTTTGCACGATTTCATCATATGACTTTTGAAAGACCGGTTTTGGGAGGCACATAAAGGCGCAAAATTTACTTATTCCTTGAATTCCGATACCAATAAGTCTCATAGCCAAAGTGAGCCGTCTATTTACATCGTAAGCACGACCATTAATTAAGGGGCTACTGTCAATAGTTGTATTCCCGCACTTTTCACACACAATAACAAGCTTGAATCCAAGGCCACGTTTACACGACTCCAAAAAATTCACACTACCTCCGCATTTTTTACATGCTAGAATTTGCGACAACGTGCTAAAAACAGCAAGAAAATTGATGATTCGATAGCCAAATGCAGCATCCACTTCAGTATCATTTTCTGCTGTCGAAGATTTCATTTTTTTTGCTAGCCTACAAACATCTTCAGTGTCGCCTTCGAAGCTGTGACGGTTGGGCGGCTTTCTATTGGCGATTCTGCTCCGACTGGCACGAGTAGAGGACCCTCTCGTCCCTTTTTTATACACTTTCTCACTCATTTTTATAGAAAACAACAAAATAAACACTACCGTAACGTTTATGAGCGCGCAACTCGGAGTAGCACGTGGAACTGTTTACTGCGTGTTTATTCGCAGTCTAACGGTTATTGTAGCGTCCAATATGGCTTCTCTGAGATTTATTAACACCATCTATATGTATTTTGAAGAAATTAAATTTATTTGTACCGACAAAAATTACCAACAAGCTATAATACATTTAAAATGCCGCGCGCAGGTGAGCGGTCTTTTTAAACGTTTAGGAGCGCTCGAAGTTATCTTGTTAAAAATAGTTTATTGAATTTTCCCCGACAAAATAGTGTTTGCATATCATTCTTGAATAGTTTATGCATCATTTAAGCCAATAAAAAAAAATTGAAAAAAAAAATTTGCTGGGTAGTATAACCCCTTAATACTACAGGGTACAAAATAGGAATTATGCAATGTCTCGTTCGGATGGATACTCGTAGTAGCGTTCCGCTGCGTTATCCTCAACAGGTTTTAAAGTACTGAAAAAATTATATATTGATATATTAATATTTGAATTAGGCGCGCCTATCTGCACTCGTCCCTCATTGTTTTCCTGTTGCGTGATACCTCAACACGTGTTTTTCACAGTTCTTAGTTTTTTCATTTTTAGGTTGTTCAACATGGGAAAATCATCTCACAAATCGAAGAAAAGAAGAAGATCTTCATCCTCTGATCGACTGACGGAGCTAGAAAACAAGGTTGCTCGTTTAATCGACATGTTATTATATAGGCAGAGAGATATAGTTAAGGCGCCCAGATCCGCCTCTCCTGCCCCCGTGTCCACTACCTTGCTCCAGGAGGTCCGTCCCTTAAGTACCGAGTCGAATTCTCCCATTCAAGGGCCCGACTCGGAGGACAATACTTTGGCATCTCCTGCGGAGCCACATATAGGTGTGTATAATATTGCTGGATCTGTATTTGCGAAATACAGGTGGCATGACGGCACACCTTTTTTGTGTTCTGTGCATTCAGAACGTGATGTTTTTTCTGCAGCCATAGATCATATTCCTGAAGAGTGTGATAGGTCTAAGCAAGTCACAATACAAGACAATCTGCTGTCCTTGCCTTCTACTGCAATGGAGGAGAACTCAAAGAATCTTACGAAGCACTTTTTCGGCACTGATCTAGACAGTGAAGAGATCATTCCCTGGAATGAGCTGCTTTTACAGAAATGGCGGACTTAGTCCCGTAGTGGTCTTCTTGCTGATCAACGTAAGGTTTTGATAGCTAGATTCTTTCCGTCGAAGACTGCATCCTTTCTCAAATTCCCCACGTTAAATCAAGAATGCTGAGTCGCTCTCAAAAACAATTCTATTGTTAAAAGAGATGATTTTGCCACCAAAAATCAGGATCAGGTCGGCGCTGCTCTGTCTGCCTTGGGCGAAGCCTTCTCTGATCTTCTCCGTCCGGAGACGCAGGCTTCACTGAACCCGGAGGCTTGTTCAGCCATCTCCAAACTCAACGAGGGCGCTAAACTATTAGTCGACCTTTTCTACCGGCTTTCTCTTACGAGGAGAGCGCAGACCACTCCAGCTCTCAACCTAACCGCCAAAAATACGGCGGGTACTTTACCGGTGGATGACCTGCTTTTCGGTTCCTCGTTTGGAGAACAAATAAAGAACGCGGCATCAATGGAAAAATTTTCAAAGGACATTGTCAAGGCTCCCTTGACAGTGCCTAAGAAGATACAGCAGCCGATTAAACTTCTCTCTCAATTTATTTCGGTAGAGCGGGAAACGCCCGCGCCCCTGTGAAACCCAGACTGGCAGCGAGGAGAACAGGAGCACAGGACAGCAGCCACCGCCCAACGTACCGATCGAGATCCCGTTCCAGGAGGCGTTAGATAGTGGGGAGGTAAGACTCGCAGGTAGACTGTCTTCCTTCTTACCTCGGCGGAAGGAAATTACCTCTGACCCCTTTATTTTATAAACCATTGTGGGCTATAGGCTACCTTTTTTACACCAACCACCTCTACAAAACAATGAGCCTCGTGTCTGCTTATCTGACGCAGACAACCGAATTTGTGCTCAAGAAATAAATAACCTTCTCAATAAAAGTGCGATCGAAAGGGTGACGGATTGCAGTGGGCAGTTCCTCTCACCCTTCTTTGTTATCAAAAAGTCTTCAGGAGGTTGGAGGTTCATCCTCAATCTGAAACAACTCAATCTTCATTAACGCTCCATACTTCAAATTAGAAGATTGGAAAACTGTTATTCGCCTCCTCTCCCCGAGAGATTTTCTAGCCTCGGTGAATTTGCAGGACACTTATTTTCTGTTACCCATACATCGGGATGATAGAAAGTTTTTACGTTTTCGTTTCCAGGATGAGCTTTTCCAATTTAATGTGCTACCTTTTGGGCTAGCCTCGGCACCATATATTTTTACAAAGGTGCTAAAACCAATGGTTTCTTCCCTTCGAGAAAGTGGCATTTTTCTGATAGTATATCTTGACAATTTTCTACTCATAGCAAACTCGTACAATCAATGTGTTAAGAGCCTCAATACAACAATAAACCTTCTGTATTCGTTAGGCTTAATTATTAACAAAAATAAAAGCGTTCTTAACCCGACTTTTTCTTGCAGATTCTTGGGCTTCATTTTCGATACACGACACTTCTCAGTCGCGATTCCATCCGACAGAAGAAAGAATCTTCTACAACTCACTCTGGCTTTCTTCCAAAAGAGGCACTGCAAAATTCGGTTCTTTGCCAGCTATATTGGTTCACTGATATCGGTCTACCCAGCTGTACAGTATGGTTTACTACATACTAAGGCGCTGGAGAGGGAGAAGTTTTTAGCCTTAACAACATCCGATAACAACTTCGACGCATAATGTCTCTCCCACTATCGATCAAAGAGGATCTGTTGTGGTGGAAATCCATTTTTGCAGACAACTCTCAGCGTAACCTTATCAGATCGGGGTGTTTTGAGCTCGAAATTTTCTCCGATGCTTCTCTCTCTAGATGGGGAGCTGTTTGCCAAGGCAACAGCACTCACGGCTTCTGGTCATCTGAGGAAAAGCTGCTACACATCAATTATTTAGAGCTTCTCGCTATTTTTCATGCACTAAGATGGTTCGCATCTTATTTAGAGGGAGCTAACATCCTTTTGAGGGTCGATAATTCCATGGCTCTTTCTTATATTAACCGTATGGGTTCTATTAAGTTTCCCTCACTTTCTGCTCTGGCCAGGAAAATCTGGTACTGGTGTGCTGAAAGAAACATCTTCATCTTCGCCTCTTATATTCCTTCAGCTCTAAATTTTAAGGCAGACGCGCAATCTCGTGTTGTCTCGGAGGAAACAGAATGGACGCTAGCACAATCATATTTTGATACGATTAATTCTCGTTTTGGCAATTTTGATATCGATTTATTTGCATCATCGATCAATTGTAAGTGTCGATGTTTTGTATCCTGGGGTACTATTCCGTACACGCTTACCGACAGCTGTCGGATCGGTAGACGTCGTTGCGCGGCTTTTTTCTACCATAGAAAAGCTGCGCAACAACATCTACCGATCCGACAGTTGTCGGTAAGCGTGTACGGAATAGTACCCCTGGTTGCCAGATCCACTGGCTCAGGCAGTGGACGCTTTTTCGCTGGATTGGAATGGATTCTATTTTTATGCCTTTCCCTCCTTTACTCTAATTCTAAGAGTTCTGAGAAAAATCATTAATGACAGAGCTGGAGGGGTGGTAGTTCCTTAGTGGCCGGCCCAGCCTTGGTTCCCTTTATTTAACAAACACGTAATCGACCAGCCGATTCGTTTTTAACCGAATATTGATATGTTATCATCTCCTTTCAGAGACGTCCCGACCTGGGACAGAATTTCCCTGGTGGCCACGAAATTATCCGGCAAGCTGTTATTCGCAGAGGAACACTACCAGCAGCCCTGACAACAACGCTGGCATCAATCACGAACGCTACATTGAGTCAATACTCCAAGCCCTTAAATCTGTGGTGGAGTTTCTGCATTCAAAACCAAATCAACTTTTTCACACCGCCAGTCTTTGCATTCTTAGAGTTTTTGTCCTCTGTGTTATCACAAGTAGGTTCATACGCAACCTTGAATACCTATCGCTCGGCCATATCTCTTGTTTCGTCGAAGGTGGACTCTCACCCTTTGATTACTAGATTTTGCAAGGGAGCAGCGGTTCTAAAACCGCAAAGACCCCGCTATGACTTTGTCTGGAATCCTAGACTGGTGATAGATCACCTATCATCCTTGTTTCCACACGAGGAGCTTTCTCTAGAAATTTTATCTAGAAAGCTTGTGTTGCTTCTTGCCTTGACAACAGCTCAAAGAATGCAGACTTTGGCGGCTATTCAACTGTCAAATATTTCGATGACTGATTTGTTAGTCATTAAGATCCCCGCTAGACTTAAGACATCAAGGGTTGGTAAATCTCAGTCTTTGTTTTACATCAAACATTTCGCCGAGAAACCGGAACTTTGCATCGTCTCTCTGGTTAAAACTTACCTACAGATCACCGAGGATCTGTGTCAGGAAGAATGTGACTCTCTCTTCATCTCTCCTCGATCTCCACACAGCGCAGCTTCCTCCCAGACGCTAGGGCGTTGGGCTAAACTAGAACTGAAAGCTGCTGGTGTCGATATATTTATTTTTTCGGCGCACTCTATTCGTCACGCTTCGACATCGTTCGCGGCAAGCAGAGGCATTAGTATAGACGAGATTAGACGCACAGCCGGTTGAAGCAGATCTTCAGAAACCTTTGCTCGTTTTTACAATCGCCCAATTATTAAGGAGCCTTTTTTCTGTCTACGATCTTAAATAGGTCATAATCTCGTCTTTTCGTTATATAGGAGGGTATTTCATAGATTTTATTTTAGTATTTTGTTCCCTCTTATGAAATACATTTCATTTTATGCATTTTTCTTTTATTTTGGAGTTATCTTTATGCATGTTTTTTGTTGCAAAGACATCCTTGAAATAAATTTACTTTTATAATATTTACCTTATTTCAGTTTTTTTCTCCTGCAAATCTGCGCTTTAAATATCTACGAGTATCCATCCGGACGAAACATTGCATAATTGAATAATTAAACGAACTTACCGTGAAGTTCGATTACAATTATGCTGTCTCGTCCGGATGGAAGACTTCCCCCCACCCACAACCCGTTTTTAGCAGATTTGCGAGCTTTGAAATGATGAGGGACGAGTGCAGATAGGCGCGCCAAATGGGAAGCGGCGCCTAATTCAAATTTTTTCAGTACTTTAAAACCTGTTGAGGATAACGCAGCGGAACGTTACTACGAGTATCCATCCGGACGAGACAACATAGTTGTAATCGAACTTCACGGTAAGTTCGTTTAATTATTCAATTTTATGATTTTAATAAAAAACAAACATAAGTGGAAAAATAAAATTTATTTTAATTACACATATATTTTGCGACGACTTTTCTCACGAATTAGGCGGACGGTAACTGGTCCGCCGCGCCGACAAATTACCGCGGTCCTCGATTTGCGACTTCTGACTTCTTACAAAAGTGTTGGGTGCCAGGTGCAGTAAGGTCGCACCTCCTCACAAAGTCAGGCACCAAAAGAGAAATCACTAACGGCCACAAAGTCGGGAAATCGAGAACCTGCGGGACCGGTAGCTCAAATTTTAATTTGAGTTGGAGACGGGAGTGGGTGTTGTGAGAAGGGCCAAATCTCAATCGAGAAAAGTAGGAGACCAAGTAATGCAGTAACTAAGACTCTTTATTCGGTAGGAAATCCGCTCGTTCCGACCATCGCAAGATTACAAGTTCGATACTCGTGGTATCCTGCCGGTCGGGATACCCTACCTTAAGTGTGCGAGAGACAAGTTATTTTATTGTATTTCACGAAAGATGCACAGCCACTCCCCGCGTTAGACGATCCGCGGCAACGATACAGAACGACACGATATAGCAAAGCGAGTGACTGGTCTTACAATTTGACAAGGCTCGCTCCTCACTCTGACCCGGCTGGTGGACGCTGGTACAGCCGCTGCTCTTCGTCACCAACGCCGTCGTCGTCGTCATCGTCGTCGTCGGGCAAAGGCCCGCCTAAGCCTCCGCTTCGCCTTCGATATCCCAACGATCGATCGGGAGTGACACTCAGGTAGAGCGGTCTCGCACACGAAAAAAAATAGTGCTCTCGGAAGCCGATAACTGTCACTAAACGATAGCTGTAGCTCTCTCGGTACGAATCTCCCATTTCTTGCTTCGTCGAGCCTTTTTCTAGACGGCTGTTACTGCCGTATACTCTCTCTCTCTCTCTCTCTCTCTCTCTCTCTCT